CGGCTGTAGTGACGACTGCGCCTTTGTCGGACCCAGGTTGAGGGACGGCTGATGTGTATCCACCATGGACTCGCTCATATTTAGATTCGTGTTTAGCCTAGGTTCGCGTTTGTTCATTTGTTCGCGCAACTGCGTCTGAAGGGCTTGTTTGGCAGCGGGAGGAGCCACATAACGGTTAATGGAGGTTGTCCCCATGTGCCAGGCCTCGATTGATCCCCTGGCAATGCGGTCGTTTCCTCGGCCCAGATTTTCGGCCTTCTGGAAGGCGAACGTGTGTCCGGAATCGGTGCAGTGTTCTACCACCAAAGACAAAGCGTCCATTCGCCTTATTGCCCTCATATGTTCTCCAACACGGGTCTGTAGTCGTTTTCCGGTCTCCACAATGTAGTTGACTTCGCAGGAGTTACACTGAATCCCGCAGATGACGTTCGTGGTTTCATCTCGTGGCAGAGGGGCCTTAGGTCTCATGACCAGATGTCGAATTGTTGACTCCGGTTGGTGGGCGATGCCGATCCCCAGCGGTCTTAAGAGACGGGAGTCCGCCTCAGAAACGCAGTCGATGTATGGAAGCGCCCACCATATTTTTGGCTGTTCTGTCACCAAACGTCAGCTTGGTCCGGCCTGTTTGTCGTGTTAGATGAAATTGCGAGGATACCCCTTAGCCATGAAGAGGCGCTGGAGGTAGCGTGGTTCTGACCTTCTGTCGTCCGGCTCGCTGCAGTGTGTTTCTGTCATTCTGTAGAGTGTTCGCACACAACTGCGTAACGGATGCTTACCGCGGTAGCTCAGGATTTGGCGTGTGGTCGTGACCTTCCTATATGCCGTCGTTTATAGGTGCCCATTGGGTTTTCGATGGACGAGAACGTCCAGGAAAAGCAGTTATTGTTGATTTCCGCTTCCATTGTGAACTGGATGTCAGGGAGAACAGAGTTCAGGACATCATGGGATTCTTGGACTCGATGTATCGATGATACCTTCGTTATCATTAAGCGGGACATAATCCAAGGCCCGGGAAGTACGGTATAATACGTTTGCCATGCACACTTCATACTACTTGTGGTACTATTTGTTTGTAGAATGGGCATTACGTGGTTATTCCGCGGTAGTTGATTGTCTTCGACTCGAATGTCCATTAAAATCTCGGGTCTGACTCTAAAAGGTCATGTCCCGGAGACTTAACCCCATGTCCTGCACTGAATAATTTCTGAATTTATTCGCTTGATATATATTAGCAGCGAGGACTCTGTCTCAACCCGTATACATGAGCATCAGTTAGCGGTGAAGAGACTTGACCATCTATCCCAGGTGGCCATGCACACACTAGACACTGGGCATAAATTCGCATGAGAGAACACTCGCATTGTTGGCGCCTGCCAAACAAGAAGAGGCCGCGAATTCCTGGAGGCAATGCACTCAGATGAGGCATGCATCAACCGGCATATCGATTTAAATGCCACATACAAAATCGTTAAGGATAGATTCAAACTGAGTCAGCCAATCCCGAGATGACAATCTTAACCAATCATGGACTCCTTTTGCTAGACTCAGTCTGAAAGTTAATTGTTTTTGCACACCCGTTGTCTGAAGACGAGCTGGGGAACCAGTCTCGAAAATTCACAATACAATTTTGCTGTTTCCCAAAGAACTTCACCTTTCTTAATATATTGTTATATATATATATTGTTATACATGAGCGCCCACCGATCAGGTTACGGAACATGCTTGTCCCGTTGTGCCTTGGGGCTCATACTAGCACCCTCGCAGGCAGTACATACATAGTGGAAGAGGCGCGTGCACCAATCGCATTACGGAACTTACCTGTTCCGCTGTGTCTTGGGGCTCATCTAGCTGTATTACGCTCCGCCGTGCGGCCGCTGGCGGGGCTCGAGAGAGAGCCCCAAGACAGAACGGGACCAGTGAATTTCGTAACGCGATCGGTGAGCGTCCCTCTGCCATTACGCACTTTTGTAAGCCAATTTATTCCCAAGTAAATCCAGCTTTCCTATTTCCTCGTTACAGGTAGCACCCCAGATTGCGCACTTAGGCAGTATACCGGTGCCTATGTAGAATCCCTTTGCACTTTTCGCCTCTCTTGTAATGGGCTGAACCTTCCTTTAAAATCGATCTCCACGTTTTCATTGGCAGCCTGCCTTGTCGTCGAGCGCCTCAATGAGTACCAACACACTCCACCCCGGCACTGTTTAAGACTCCCAATTAGTGATGATATTGTTGGTAACAAGAGCCTATACTTTGACAGTCTTATCGTTATATGTCGATTTTCGTTTCGATGAGGAGGAGAGGGGGAGTTGGGTATCAAAGTACATCTTAGTTTTCTGGTTTTTATGGTACCACTTTTGCTACTTTTCCTCCCAGACATCTCACAGAGTGGTCATCGGACTTTAGTGTGGCTTCCCTCACCCTGCCCTGGGAGACCTGTGCAAACCTCTATTCCTGCCTGTCTCAAGTGACCCGTCGCCTTCCGCCAAGCGCGCGTTTAGGAACGGATGCTATGCTGGGCTTCACGGTAACCCATGTCATGCTTACTGCTGTCAATTTTCCCGTTTTTTGTATTTCTGGAGAAGGGTGCCATTGATCTACTTCCGGATTCAGCAATCGCGACAGGCCTTTCAGTCAGTCATCTCTCTTCGAATTTCCAATGTTTCTTTGTGTTCTCGTTAGTAAAGGCTACACGGATGAGTATAATATATCAGCAGCTCTTGCGGCAGACACCTAGAAAGCCATCTCGTTTCAGAAAGGACCTCATACACGGAGGTATTTCAATGCTAGAAACTATTGAATGTGATGTACCTTAATGCTTAATCGACTGGGCCACGCGACTTGTTGGCAATAAAACCTTGGCGTTATAGCTGTTAGTCGCCCCCTAGATCGCGTGCCTGTATCTGAGCCCTCGGCATCACGTGACCACGGGTTTTTTCAATCGGGCTACCTTTCCGTCTTACGCCACTAGTCCCATGGGAACTCCCGTTTACTTGATTGCTTGTTACTGCATCTGTCACTACCGTCTTAACCAGCTGTGCATTGCAAACCAACCCCGGGAGTAATCGTCTTCTATTGCAGTCGGGCGGCAGCAGATTTCCCAGTGAAGTTGTGCCAGTTAGCATTTAGACAGTAGACCGGGGGTAAGAAGTGCGCTCGAGAACAGCTTTCACCACCCAAACGCATGTTTTTAATCGGCCACCGTGCGCCCTCGAGATGAAATGTCACCTTGGACGGTTACGCATTTACATCTGGCAACACATTTCGGCCGGCGACTAATGCGATGCAGATGTCCAGGTGCGCTTGGCAGCCGGTGAGACGTACTCAATGAACGCGGCTGGACGCGCCGCGGTGACCGATCACTTCTGAGTGCAAATTTATTTTTTATGCCCCATTTGAAGATTATCTCAGTATAGGCTTCGTACACTCGGAGTATTTTAAGTGATCCTACAGGTTTCAGAGGGTTCGATGGGGTCAAACGTAAGTTGCACACCTGTATGTCCTGAGTTCCAGTTTCTCTCCAGTTTTCCCGTTTGGCGATGCTTCTCAATACGGAGCAGTCTCCGACCAATCGGTTTATTTTATTCTCTTCGCCAATTGCAAAACCGAGTGCTAAAAGTCCACGAACCACCCCTAGACCTTGACAAACTGTTGTTCCGTGTTTCGACTGACTCCTTCCAAGCCACATCCAATGATCCGAGGGCCTTAGATTCACGACCGGAGGACTGAGTCTCTCGGGGAAGTGACTGAAAATGTGCTAAACACATCCAGACGCTATTTGACTATCTCGTTTCATTCAAGATGGGATTTACTTGGAGAATTTGTCTCAGCTGTTTTTCTAAAAAAACCTTTAGTTTCCGCTTGTCTTCCAGGTACAGAGTCCGGATTTTACGTCCAACCACATATACGCCTAGCACGTTCTGTATGTTTATCAGGTGACCTCTTGGGCACCCTCAAATGTCAACAGAAAGCTTGTGGTGTGTACTCGGGCAATAACAGTCGTCCCCTATGCTGTCCAGTCGACAGTCTCTTGGTCCTATTATGCTTAGAATTGTCCCTTCAGGTTGATAACACTAATCACAAGGGGTTACATGTCCAAATCGAGGCAACATTTCGAAAAAATTTAATTTTTTCCCCTCTTCGGGCGAATTCTCTTGGCATGTATATTCACGCACGAAACAGATGTGTCCCCACGCAGCCTTATATAGAAGACAGGAAGGCTATCGCTTGGACCAATTGTTTATTTTTTCGACGTTTCGAACTCTCACATGAGCCCATCCCTCTCTTGGGGATGTGATAAATTGTACAGTCTTTCATTCCGCGACAATGGGCTCCTGTGGTAATCCGAAACGTCGGATAAATAAACAATTGGTCCCAGGAATCACCTTCCCATCTTCTTCTACTCAATTATCCGGGCCACGCGTATTCTCTATCTTTCGGAATAGTCTTGTGTTTACTCCTATTTCTGACTTTTAGGTAGGAGGCATTCCTCTCTCCGAATGAACTCACTCCCTCTGACCACCTCACATTTTTCACTTTCTTTTATGTTACCAGTATTTCCGAAACGTTCACTCAAAGTGCATTTACATCCTCAGGCACCTGTCTTTCTGGGTATGCTTGCGTCAAACATATAAAATACATTGAAGACCTTTCTGACGTTTTATATTCTTATCGCTTTTGACTGAACGGGCTTCGGGTGTTCCTCTTTGTTCATTTTTAATGCCTTTATATATCAAGACATATTTCATAGAAAGCATACGCAAAAATATCCGCTCTTACGCCCATTTTGTAGTGTATTCCGTTTTCGTCAAATTCTATGCGCGAAGAAATTGTATCTTTCGACTTTAAAAACATTCCGAGTACTTTAGGTTTCGCAAATCACGAGCTGTCCACTTTTCATTTAAGCAGAATCGTAAGCCTTTATATGCCTAAGTAATCCTAACCGAAGCAACATTTAGGGATTTCGGTTAACGTTTCACGAGGTACGTCCCCCACCGTAAAAATGTTAGCACGATCCTCAGCACTTAGAGCATTTTTTCACCGATTTCGATGTATAATTCCTCTGGAGACTCAAATTCTCAAGTTCATGCACAGGCGGTCTCCACTGTAACTTATTTGAAGTGGTGCGAAACGCGAATAGACAGATGCATGTGGGTGGGACGGTGGGAACCGTCTTTGCGTCTAAGACCCGCGTTGACCACTCTATACTGTGCTGCATCTAGGCTTTAGGTGGGGAAATTTGCTCTCGCATTCATGCTCTAAAGTTATAGTCAGAGACACGGCCATGAATATGTGCGCAAGTGTCTTGTTCAGCGCCTCTGCACGAATACTTTGCCAAACGTGGATAGTGGATTTTACGTAAATATTGACTGGTTTGGACAGGGCAGGATCCGATTGCTGGGATGGTCTGTGTGGATTTCTCAACCCTCACACGTTTTACTTTTATGGGATTTCAGCGGATGCAGCGTCGGTCCGTCCCCCAAATCCCTAACATCGGGCAGAATGGAGCTTACATTTTAGGGTTTCCGTTAGTGATCCATTAGGACGAATTTAAAGGCCGCAGAAGGAATCAGCTAATTTACCGAGAAAAGTTACGAAACTCATTAAGGGGCTACGGCAGTACAGGAATTCACGTCAGCCTCTGAAGGTTCCATTGCCTACCGGTTGGTCTATTTGACCCCGAGGTGAAGGGCGATTAGATTTGCGACGGCCGACAACAAGTGAGCAGGCTGTCGTACTCAGAAACATTTCGGGTTGGCATATTCGAAACACACTCGGGAAGATGCCACCATGAGATGTACAGGAGGCTTTTGAGGAGGTTTCAAGAGCACGACACGCGATTATTGGCCTCGAGACGAGGCGCTCCTTGTTTTCGGCGGTTTCCTGTTGACTGGTGATGGACCCGAGACATCGTTCAGATAAGTCACTTGTCGGAAGCTTATTCTTCACTGAGTCCCACCTGCCACTATCACTTCCAGAAGTGCATGCTGCACTCACTGTCTGCGGAATAATTTATTTAGTCCCGAATGAGAGACGGGCACCTGCCGCAATGCATATGACTTAAGGAGGCCCACTGGTCCTTCTAATTACTACAATCCTGCATTCGAAAATGTCCAGTCACAAACCGCAAATTGTGTATAGGGTGGATTACATAGTTCGCACGCCTATTTTACACAAGATTCCTGAGGGCTTTACCTGGACGATTTGAACCGAATATCGGGCCTGCACTCCAAACCGGTGACCTTCAAATGAGACCCAGTACAACGTGATTGCGCTATCCATTGTGCGGAACGGTTGGTCTGGTCATTCATTGTTCAGTCCTTTGCTCTACTAAATCGAGAATAATACCTCCTACATTCGTTATGACTCAAAAACAATCCAAATACCTCAAAGGGCTATTAGTGTGGCGAAAATTCCCATTGAAGAGTTCAAAGGACAATTTGGCGACCATACGTTAACTTTCGACAAATTCTCTTCAGACCTGTACATTTATATTGCCATCGAAATGATTAATAAGGAAATGCGGGCAAGTAGACATTATTCTGTAGCCGGGTTCAGAGGGTTATGTGAGGCGAGGTACAAAAATACTCTCAGTGTCAGGGGGGAGGGGGATGGTGGGCACTGGTACGGGTAATTATATGCGAATGGCTGGCTTGATGGCTTTGGCCCATGGTAACTGTGAGGCCTCTACGAAGTTCTTTTGAACGCACAGAATTGGTTTGTATAGCCTGATTGTAACTGCCTTTGATGTCGCCAACGGACGCTGTCCAAGTGATTTTGGGTATCTTGACGGAACCTTGTAAATCACCTCGAAAGCCTGTCCGGTATCTACACGGTGATCCGCGTCTATCGTTTGCGCGAGAATAGATCGGTTAACGTTCTCTATTTGGCCTTTTCCTAACCATGCTTGAAGGTGCTCTCTTATTCTTTTTGACAAACGCCGGCTCTTGCGGCCAATATATTCTGCCCCAGAGGAGTAGGTGAAGGTGTACATACACATAGAGGTTTTCTGGCCTGGCAGTTTGTCCTTGCCCTCTCCGTATAGGGTGGGACCGGTGGAGAACAGTACACGGGTGTCAGCTGCTTGAAAGTTCTGTGATACAGCTTCAGCTAGGCATCTTCTTAAAATTTCACTTGGTGCGTCCCCTTGAAACAGGACTCGGAAAGTGCCAAATAAAGAACGCTAACAGCTCTTTTCTCGCGCACATGATAGACGCGGATCACCGTGTAGATACCGGACAGGCTTTCGGGGTGATTTACAAGGTTCCGTCAAGATACCCAAAATCACTTGGACAGCGTCCGTTGGCGACATCAAAGGCAGTTACAATCAGGCTATACAAACCAATTCTGTGCGTTCAAAAGAACTTCGTAGAGGCCTCACAGTTACCA